TCAATCTTTGTTTCTAACACACTCCCTTCCCTCTTAGAGCACTCTTAGAAGACATCTCCTTTAGCAAACATCATTATACGTAAGACAAGCGAATCGTTCCCATCGAGTACGATGGATGTGAGGGGTGTTAATACCTTCCTTTCACATATCCGGCTTCCGAACCCTTTCTCTTGGTTGCTAGACCGTCTTATCCTTTTCTCTTGGGGTTTTCTCAATGTTTCCCGTCCCCTTTTGGGATAAATAAAGTTCAATGGAGACTCTCTATTTTCCTTTTTTGCCTCAACATCGTTTCATTTTTCGAGTAGCAACACACGTCGAGCAGCAAAGTCAGGAACAGTTGAGAGTACATGATGTCGACCGAGCTTCCCTGATCAACCAGTATGCAGCAAACGTCAAAGTTCGCCATTCATGCTCTCAGGAGAAAAGGGATGTTGAAGGTGGGGGATCCACCGAGGAGCTCCTCGCGGTAGAACATGATAGGAATTGAGTTTCACCGGCACTTGTCGAGGGTAGAATTTTGGTTTGAGGTTGCATCGATGAGTTGTTCGAACTTCCTTTTTACTGAGCCTGCGGTGAGTTTTTTGAATCCCCCTCCAAATATGACCATCACATAGGGGAAGGTCTCCCAGGTGCTTTGTGTTACAAAGTATAGGAGGTTTTCGACTCTGTCGGGGACGTAGAAGTCCTCAGGCAGGGAGATGGACATGGCGATTTTCAGGATGGTAGCGTCGTCGAAGGGTGGCTTTTCCTCCTCGGCCTTCTTTGATTTTCGGGCATCTTGATGAGGAGCCTCTCTTCTCTTGGTGTATTACTTCAGGTGTCCATCCCTAATGAGGATCCCAATCGCATATTTGAGGTGGATGCACTCTAACGTGCCCGTGGCTTTTGTGGAAACGACAGTACTTGGACTTATCTGCAATAGGCTTAGAAGGTGTTTTCCTGGGAAAAAGGACTCCACCCTGGAGGAATTCTGAGTTCTCACACATGGATAGAATACGCTTGCGAGAAGCAATCAGCGACATGTATTCGAAAAAATGGACAGCAGGTCCTTTGTACTCCCGAGACTCATGGGGCTTATCTTTATTTCTTTTCTTTCATCCTCGGCGAGGTGCTAGGTGGTCATCGTGCCTCAAAACTCTGGCGTTTTTTTGATGTCGCGAGTCTCGAGCATTGTTGGCAACTTCTTTCTCCTCGTACTAAATGTAGGCCTGGGCCTTGAGGAGGATGGCATCCAGTGATGCGGGAGTTTCAATGTCGACAGCTTTGGCAAAGTCACTGTAGGGGCGTAATTCATGCTCAACCAAATAATTCTTCATGTCATCAGTCGTGAAGATCTGAACGGCTTCCTGATTGAACCTCTTGATGTAGGCTCGGAGGGATTCGTCTTTCCCTTGCACGATTGCATCGAGCGTCACCTCGAACTTTGGATGGCGATGAGAAGCGGTGAAGTGCCTCAAAAACTGCTTCCCTGGGTCTCTCTAAGAAGTGATGGATTCACTAACGAGGCTCTTGTACCACATCATAGCACACTTCCTCAAAGTAGTAGGGAACAACCTGCATTTGATGACGCCTTTGACGCTATGATAATCGAGCAGAGCATCGATGTTTTTGATGTGTTTGTTGGGATTTGTTGTTACATTGTATGTTCCTGGGTTTGGTGGTTTTTCCCTTCCAACGGGAAGTGGAGCATCCATGATTGCTCGAGATATTGGCCCGTGGGGGTTGTCTTCTTCACTCCAAACCAATAAACACGGTGGAGAATAGTCGTACTTGTCTCATCGAGGGCAATCGTCACGGTGTGGCGGCAAGCCCTTTGGTCGGCCCTTTGATTTGTGCGGGGGCGAACGAAGTTTATTAGGTCGTTCAGTGGCTTTGCTTCTCTTGGCACCCGAGGAACGTCGATCCTCGTGGGGAGGAGTACGATTGCACTTCAGGGTTGCGGCCTCTATAATTATAGGCAGCGGTCTGGTCGTCGTGGCGATGGGCCTTGGGACTCATATTGTCAATGTCTCCACATAGGAGAGCGTGAACGGCGATCCTTCTCCAATGATTTGATCCTCTCATTTTGTTGGTAGATCAACGTGTTGGTCTGGCTCAGCGCCGCGAATAGGGTTGCCATGGTCGATTCGGTGTTGGGTGGTACCAAAATCGGTTGGAACTTCTTTGGTGTCTTCTCCGGAGCTTTCTGGACTTTGCGAGTTTCGATGTATTGGACGTCATAGTCGGCTGCATCGTCAGATGATGGGGTGGCGGTGCGCCTGTCTCTCATCGGCGGAGTGCTTCGAAAATGGCATACCATTGTCCTTGTCAGTGTTATGGACAAGAGAGATGACGGTTTCGTGAACGTTGTTGTTATCGTCGTGTTGACCGACCATGATCAATTTCTGAGACTTTTTGTTTTGATCTTTTGGTTTCAGGGAAAGATAAGATGAGGAAACATGTTTCCCATAGACGACGCCACTAATCCGAACAACTGGACAAAATAAGTTAGTGGCCAACAACACGTTCGCGGTCTTGAACGGTCGACAAAGGGGGTGTACTTATAGGCACTCTGATGCTTAAGTCAATTTGGATGAAGAGGTAAGTAATAAAGGGTAAATAATAGAATACATGAACCTCCTGCAGAGGAGGGTTTTTATAGTGAGCTCCCACCGCTTGGTCAATGGTCTCTGTTGTAGGCTAAATGTTCAGACCCACAACGGATGACTGCCAAGACTTCCATGTGAAAGTAGGGATGAGCAGCTCGTGCTTATCATCCTAGGTCAACAGTTTCGCACTCTCCGGATAGTGGATGGACTTACTTGTTACGAAGGGTCAAACGTTTTCGCGAGGGGCGTAGGTTCAGTTGGTGACGTGTTCTCGGATGAGGGGCACATAGGAACGGGTTAGGCCAACACTCTGGACCATTTACTAACGAGATGGCGGGTTGGCTAGCTGACTCGTAAATTTTTTTAGTTTAATTTACTAATTTATTTACAATTTTTTTTAATAATTTACTACTTTATTTATAATTTGATATACTACTTTGTTTACAAACTTTTATATTTATTTGATTTTTTATTTTATATGTCATTCCCTTCCAAATAATAATACCCACTTTTAATAGGTATTATATAATAAAATATATATAAAAAAGTTATAGTATTTTACTAAACAATAATTTTAAAAAAAGTTTATTATTTCATTACTTCTTAATTTTTTAATTTCTAGCTCATAAATGATTGAGCTTCATGGTTACAACTTGCGTTTACCATCCATGTAAGCGAAACAACATAAAACAAATTTTCCAATTCATGATGACGTTATATGTGAATATTCAAATTCTAATTTTTATCAATAAACAAAAAAAAATAGTGGATTGGCCTCCTCGATACATTGTTCAATTTTAATTCAAAATAAAAAAAGGTTTTAACAAAAGCCTGCGGACAAAATCCGCCTCGCCTCGTTTTTAAAGTAAATTAGGTGGGACAGACCAACTTAAGACACCGATCCGAAAACTTCAACTTAATCCCCTAAAAATGATGGGTCAAACGAGCCGGCCCGGCAAATCCAACCTATTTTGCTCCTATCTTATAAAGTTGTTTTAGTGTAATATTATTTATTCATCCATAAGAATATATATTATTAATTTTAAAAAAATAATACAAGTACAAAATAATACACCAATTAATATATTTAATTATATAAATAGATATAATTTTTAATCTATATATTACTTATATAACAATGTTATATAAAAAAATCAAAAGTTGAAGTTAATTAAATTTTACATTGATATAAAAAAATGCTGCAATAAAAAGTAAATAAATTGATTTTATTATTGATTGAGAATATATATATTAAACTAATAGTTTAATTAAAAATATAAATATTAATTATGAATTAGTATTTATTTTGACAAATTTTAGTATAGTTTCAACCAAAGTAATTTAATATGGAGTTTTACAAAAGAATATTTTGCATTGATAGAAAGTGGAAGCGAGATTCTTCTAGTATGGAAATTTTATGATTAATCAAGTGTGAAGTTGAAGATGTATGGTTGATGTTTAATGGAAAATTGATATATGATTAATCAAGTGTGAAGTTGAAGATGTATTGGGAGGATGAGTTTCGTAAAATCATAATTGTTTGTGGAGGCCAAAAGCACAAAATGGGTTATCAACACAATACAAAACCGTGATTTGTCCAACAAACTTTGTTTACAATTGAAAAAAGGGAAATCAAACTGGTCGCGGAATGCAAAAACATGGACATATGCATCCAAATTCAAATTGACCTCTTGGTGATCTCTCTGTCTCACTTGGATAAGAAACTTCTGGTGGCATCAAGAATGTTCCGTAGTTGTCGTGTTCTTCAACCCATGAAAATGTACTAGGTAAGGGTGGAGCTGATGGCTGCCTGCTGAAAATGTACTAGGTAAGGGTGGAGCTGATGGCTGCCTGCTAAAAATGTACTAGGTAAGGGTGGATATACATTCATTAAATTTATAAAATTACTAACGTAAAAGATCACAGACAAATGCTGCTAGGAAAAAATGGCTCGATATACATTCATTAAATGGTATTCAAAGATTAATATTTAGTTATTTACAGAAATGAGATGCATCACATCAAGGGAATTACAAAAGAACCAAAAAGCAAGTGCATACATAATACTATACTTGAGCAAAGACCTTCTTTCTTCTTCATGCTCGCAGCCCCATTCAAAGCAGAACAAGCAGAGGGCAGTCAGACTTGGCAAAAACAGAGCTATAGAAATAGAAAAACCACAACATTGGTGCTATCACCTTTCAAGGTAGAGATCATCAAACTGCGTTATATATTAAACCAGCCCTCAACATTGGTGCTATCACGCTGCTCCGGCATAGCTGTAGAATAAACCAGTGATATGCTCTTATAGACCATGATGAAATGTTTCCCATGTTCATTCTCAGGTTCTACCTCATAATTTCATGCCAATATTTATTGTATATAACTAGTGTGTTGGTTGACCTAGGAGTATTAGCAACCAGGCCCCACAATAGATGACTGGTCCTCCGGATTGACAACTGCTTCCGAATCCAGTTTGTTTGGTTTACCTTCTTCATTGGTCACAAGACCTATTTTGGGTGAAAGCTTCTTCACCTCTTCTGGTGTGTAGATGAAAATTTTCCTCACAACGCTACAAAATTCACTGCAGTATAATAGGCAGACAGAACTCAATACACGTGTTTATAATATTGCAAACTATTATGTCAAAGAGAGTTTATGTCAGTATCAAATAATCTTACAGCCATGGATCATCCCCAACCATCATCCTATCATCTTCATTGTCAGTGTAAACAACTAGCCATTTTTTTGTTGGTCCACAAAGCTCGCCCTCAATGTCAAACATCTCTTCCAATTTCCTAAGCAGATCCTCATATCCGTCAAAACGAGTTAAATCCACAGCCCTTCCAACAGCCATACCTTGCATGTGAACCTGCAGCAATATTAGACTTGTAATATAAACAATCTCATTACATAGTGCAGGCACCAGCACTGGCACTGCCCTCTTGTAAATAGAGGCCAAAAAACCATCTTCTAATCCAAGAAAAACAAGGTGATTGATAATAAGTGTTGTTAATTACGGATACCAAAAAATGGCGGATTGTTATAATTCCTCTGTGCAATAGTCTATTTGACAATATTTTGTAGTACCAAATAATATACCGAGGAACAATAGCAGTCTGTCTAAATTCAGCTACGCTGTGGCGTATATCGCCGCTATACCGGCTATTTAACAACAATGTTAATATTTAATTGGAATTACCCAAACAGAAACATTTGACCCATTTACCAACCACAATCCTTTATGACTAACTATCTAGGAGAATATTCCAACTAATGAAGGACTTGTTGGTTTGAGAATTTTTTTTTTTCAGTTTATTTTCATTAATAATTACAAATATGTAACCATATATTAACTTTGTTTCTGGTTTTCAGATGATTGTACAGGAAATGGTGAAAACAAAGTGAAACAGAAGACAAGTATTGAAACTTACCTTGTGTATTACTACTGGAAAATAATCTAGAGAAATTTCCTAACCATTTTATGTCATATATATCAAATGTGTGTCAAATGCTGTCAATAATGCAGATAGGTTCTAAAAACGTACAGGAGCTAAAATACACCCAATAATTCTGCAAAATAGAGATGCATTATATAGCTGCGCTCGTTAAGTTAGTCCACAGGAAAAATGTGTTGAGAATGTTGCAGGGTTGTAAAGGAAAATAGGTAGAGTGTGTGATGTGTGAAACACTACTAATGTTAAAAGTAGTTATGTACCTTTGTGCAGCTTCTTATTTGTCTGCTTTGCGACTCTTGAGGAGACCGCAGGCATGATTTGTCAGCATCACAACTTACTGAAGGAATATCAGACCGATTAACATTTGATGGTTCAGAATGTTGGTCAGACTCATCATCAGCAACCCTCCTTGACAAAGGAGCTGCTTGCAGACTTTCTTCTGCATTAGAATTCTCAAGTAACTGAATCCCAAAGAGCCTACAGCCACTTCCAGTGCCTTGTCTCTTCTCTCCGGATTCTTTAAGTGCCATAGGTGAAAAAGGTTCTGTAGAGTTTTCCAATCTACTAGACCAATATATTGACTTGTTAGAAGCAGGACTGTTCCCACCAAAACCAAGAAAGCTAGTCGCAGTAGAGCTGAATCTTGGAGATGGATACAGGTCTCGTGCATGTTGAGAGTCGCGATAAGGGAAAGGTGGAGAATCAACTGGTGATTTCCATATACCTGATGCACAGAAAAATGGAAACTTTGTAGAAAAGCAGCACGTGTAACAGAACTATAAAGGTAAATTACATATGATCAGGTCACCTTGCAAAGAAGAATCAGGCATTGTGGAAGGTAGAACAGGAGGCCGTGATCTCTTGTTTCGTTGGACTGGCTGGGAGTTTGCAGGAGGGGTAGACACAAGTGGCTCCAATTCCCATGGAGAAACTCTATCCGGACGCAAAATTGACGATGGTTCATCCCATTGAACCTGATTTGCATTACATATATTATATAAGATTAACGAACTAAAAGCTGCCACGATAATTTCAAATCCTACAAACTAGAAGTGTCGACTTGCTGCATTTTGCACTTTCATATATAAAAAATATTAGCCATTTCCTGGTAGCTAAATTTTATTTTATTTTTGATATCTTTTTCTTATCGGCCAGTTAATAAGTGCATTACTGAGTTTTCAATCATGATAATATAATTTGCTAGATTGTCCCATAAATAAAGCATTGATCTTTCTGGACCATTTTACAGAAATGCAAAAATAACCTCTACTCTTTTGTACTAGCTTTTACTAAAACTAAGATGAATTTATTTGGAAAGTTACTTACAAACTATAACAGTAAACGCGGGAAGTGCACCTAAAATCACAAATACTAACCTTTAATGATCGCCACTCTGAATCAGCCCAGACGGACGATTTATTATCTTCAACACCCACAATTGTACCGCTAAACCTGTATTCAGAGGGCAAGGAACAATGATTATATTGTACAATTTTCTAAAATCAAAATATCAATTTTTAAGCAACCAGCTTGCGCACCTTCGTTCAGGTACTTCATCACCCTCGAACCTCATTTTGAATCGCATCCCAACAGAAAGTTTATGATTTCGAGCTTCGAGATATTTGTTAATACTCACAATAAACTCTGACCGGCTTGTTCTAAGATAAATATAGATAAGTCAGAAGAAAATTTTAACTACATAAAGCAAAGGAAACTCAAATACTCCCTTTGTTTCAAAATGATTGTCATTTTAAGGGAAAAATTTTGTTTCAAAATGAATGTCATTCTCACTTTTCAATGTAGTAATAATTGTTATTTTTCCAATTGTGTCATATAATTATTACTCTGTACACTATTTCCAACACATTAATCAAACTAATTTAGTAAAAGTGCAATATCTTATGACAATATCATTGCATTCCTAATTCCTTAATCTGTGTGCAAAAACCTTAAACGACAGTCATTTTGAAACAGAGGGAGTATCATTCCAATCAAATTATTTCACCCAAAATGAATAGGGTTATTTAATTTAATTAAATGAAAGTGGAAAGGCACATGTGCAAATTCAAATAAAACAGTTATATGTGCGTTGAAGTTCCAGAGAAAAATTCTATGGCAAGTTAGTAAGAACATCATGAACTAAAAATCACTAATAACTTCAGTGATAAATACAAAACCTGGGCTTGTAAAACACAGAAAACAATGTTCCAGTGGAAATGGCGTGAGATGCAGTGGCAAGAACACCAAGATGCATGCTATGACTAGAAATAACAGAAGATGGCATATTGCTTTGCTGTCTCATGAGCCTCCTGACTCCAACTCGTAGTTCTCCATTTTCACCCCTAAATTGAATGCATTAAAAAAACAACCAACACCAACAAAATTAAGAAACAAAAGTTGTGAAGAAAAAAATGTGAAGTACTTTTCTTGCCCCTGAAGGAAGGCACGATATTTCTACCGAACAACTTGCCTTAAGAATATAAATGCGTCTCCAGCCACTAATTTCTTGGAACTAACAAAGACACTCCACCCAGTGGTCAGTAAGTGGCGCCTGGGTTGCCCTGTAAATTACTCAGTCAGAAACTTACTGACAGTATAAACCTCAAACTCTTGTATTAAACAAGTCAACGACATAATAACAGTGCGGGCGGGAACCCATAAATTTATGAATCTATCAGAATTGACTTAGAACAGTTTACTGAACAAAAAAAAAAAAACTGAACAGGACATGTGCTGAAAGATATGGCCATGTAGACTACACCCAAAATAATAAAATCTGAGATGAGATCAGTTCCGTTCTGTTGGTAAAAGAGCTTTAACAATTAAATAACTTAATAGGTAGGTTAACTCATGGTATGGAAAATTGATGCATATCATATACAATGTGTTCCACAAGCAGTGTGAATAGTGTGTGTTTAGCATATTTAATCAATTATTTAGCAAAAATACACTGCACGCAAAACTAAACAGCAGAATCTTCATTGATATAATTTTATCCCTCAAGCAAACACTTAAGAGAAAATAAAACCATGATAAAACAAGGTTGAATGGAAACGTTGAAGCAATGGTCAGAGTTCTGATATGTGACTAGGAGGTCACAAGTTTGAGACAATACAATTGACCTCTTGCAAATGCAAGGTAAGGCAACAGATACAGTGGATCTGTTTATTCTCCCTCCATAGAAAGAGTTTTATAACACTGGGTTCCCTTTACATTATAAAATAAGGTTCAAAGATAAACCAAAAAATATATTAACCACGATACTTACCCCGAAAAATATGTCGAAAATGCCATTCATTCCCATGCAAATCAGTTGCAACCAATTCTTGCCATGGTGGCTGCTGAGTCATGTCCTGAATGAAACAAGGGAATTAAGGAGTTATAGCGTGTAAATAACAACAAAATATTGTCATAATCAGGTGTCCTTAATGACTTTTGAGAAGATAAAGAAGTTGCTAACCAGTGGTGGTAGACAATCATCTGCATGTCTTCGAAGAACAGAGAAACCTCCATGAGTGCTAGTGTCAGAAGCAGTAAGTGTCTTGCAAAATGAATGAACTGTACACCTTGGAGGTTCAGGCAGAGGATCATCTGGGCTTGTCACCTCACTTTGCTAAACCAACAAGACACAGAATAAAACAGGTATTAATGAGATGAAAGATATCGAACAATCTAAGAAAAAAATTACTGGAAAATTATTTGACATAAATCAAAAGAGCGTAACTGTTTTAAATATAACAACCATGTCAAAGAAAGAATAGCATACTTACATCGGATTCAGGTAGCAAAGTTATTTGTGCATATACTTCATCTGTTTCAGGTTCAGCCTACACGACCAAAATGATTTTAACAATAAAATGATGATCACAGTAAAGCAAGATAAATTTCTAAATAAGTGATTGACAGTGAAGAAAATGTCAATTAAGATTGTGGAGAAAGATTATGACTAACCCGAAGATGAATATTGACCACTTTACATAATATTTTTGAAGGAAGATTAAAGCAGGGCATTTGCTGCTCTAATCCCTGATTCATAGACGCCTCAAGCTATAAAATAAATAAGCTCGTATAAGATAAGTTAAAATAAAACTTCATAACACAATACAAGAAAACCCATTTATGCTCAACATAATAAAATAGGGTGCTATGAATCATAGTTACACATAATTTAAATGCTATCTATGATGGTAGAAATTGATACTAGTCGTTACACTAGAGTGTTATAATTTAAAGCACAAGCATAGATAATTCACCAGAATATAAAGTTTAGATGCAAGGCGAATGCAACCAGAAACAAAACAACTTTCAGAAAACACCACAAGTTGGAAACAGAGTCATTTCTAACAATGAAACATCGCCATATAAACACAGAAACAAATATTTTGCCTATAAAATTATAAAGGGAAATGCAGGAAGGTGAACACACCGAACAACAATAAGATCTTAGAACATTGAAAACGGAACAGTTACCCTACAAGTAAAGTTGCTAAATTTAGAAGCCGTGCATGGTGATTCAACTTTTACCTGTTCCATGTGACCTTGAGGGAAGTAATAAACTCTCTCCCCTTCACGAGGAAGAGTGACAAGGGGTCCAGCACATGCATGCCACAATTCCTTGTATAAAGCATCATTAGTTGCCCCTATAAAAGGAATATTGAAACACATGAATAGGTCATGAATGAGGCAAGAAATTTAACTTATATTGCATGTTAAATGTCAGAACGACCGATAAGGTTTATTCGGTTATAGCTATTAAAACAAATAGCTACAAAAAATCTAATTTTTATAGGATGATCTTATTTAAATCAAGCCTGTAGGTCCATGTGCGAGTATTTCTTTAGCAAATAACTTAAGGTGAACGGAGACTCTGTTCATTCCTAAAGAAAAAGCAAGCCGCAAATGTTAACAGGGATGAAGTCATGTTTGTCATGTGGCAAGTGGGTGGGTGGGTGAGTGAAACCCAGTAAAAGTGTATGTGTATGATAAACATAATTTAGGGCTGAATTTGAGTCCTACTAGCAACTAGAGTTGTAATTTCAGAAAAGTAGACAGTTGGTGAAAGCGGGTAATAGTACATATAAGAAAGTAAATTGAATTTAATTAGAGTAGAGCAAGGAGCAGTAATAAAAAGTACTAGTGAAGTGAAACCTGCACGGGTTGTAGCAGACATTTGATTTGAAGCCATAGGAGCTGAAATCAATAACATGAAGAAGAAGAAGAAGAAGGTAAATAATTAGTAAGAGCAGAAAAGGCATATTGTGATTGCGTGCAAGTACTTACTAAAGAAGAATGGAAATGGATCCGGCAAGGGGAGGAGAATCGCGGCCGAGGAAAGCGGTAGAAGTTGAAATTGAAGGTGACGGAGTGGCTAGGGTTTAGGAAAGGGGAAAGAAAAAATAGATCGAAAATTGATCTCTGTGATAAGGTGATGTTTGGTTCAAGCCGACACGACCCCTCTGTTCCCTCTGTTCCCTCTTTTTCTTTCTCTCTTTCTACGCTCACTCATTACTTTACTGTTTTTTTTATTACTATCAAAATTAGGACAAATTATAAACAATTACTCCTTTCTTATAATCACTAAATCCAAGTTTTTATTTATTTATTTATTCATAAATCGAGTATCCTTTCCTAACAAGAGATTTCTTATCTTTTTCATTCAAATGTTATTTTAAGAAAAAAGGAAATTAGTATACAAGAATTCTCAAAGTTGTGGTGTTTTCTAAAATCATTTCTAATAATGAAACACCGCCAATAGATGGTAACAAAGTCATTGTTAGAAATCTCTTTCTATTCCCTCATATAAAATCAGTATACATAATTTCTTAACATCTTTGTGTGAGTTTGTTCTAACACTACAAAAATCACAACAACATAAAAAGCATCTCACAACCTTAAACAGTTAAGGATTGTCACTTATTATACTTTTAATAAGTGCAATTGATGCCCACCATATAACCTAATAAAACTAACCTAGGATGCATTTTTCATTACTCACCAGTCGTTTTCATCGCCCACCCCAGAGGATGCAAAAACGGAGTTTTAAGATTACTATCAACAAAATTGTTAAAGGTTTTGTCAAGTGAGAAGAATTTAATTCTTCTCGCAGAAAAATGTGCTAGGTGGGTTTTAACGCAAGCGTTATACCCGCCAGTGTCTCAAAGGAAACGTAAGGTGGGCGACGAGAAGATAGTGGTTGTTGATCAAGAAGTTTAGAAATTGATAAGTGTTGGTTTTATAATGAGGTTAAGTACTCGTCTTGGTTGGCCAACGAAGTCTTGGTACAAAAGTCATCAAACAAATGATGTATGTGTGTTAACTTCATTGGCTTTAACAACATATGCCTTAAAAATCCATATTCCCTGCCCAATATAGATCGCCTGATTAAAGGATCATTTGGCTACAAAACATTGAGTTTCATAGACGTTTATTATGGCTACAATCAAATTAAGATGAATCTTGTAGATGCGCCCAAGACAATATTCATGTCCAATCACGACAACTATTATTACAATGTCATGCTCTTCGGACTAAATAACACGTGAACCTCCTACCAAAGGCACATGGGCATTGTATTCTCAAAGAAAACAGGTAGAAATCTGCAAGTATATACCGATGATATAATAGTAAAAACATCAGAAGGGAAGAACCATACTACAAACCTATAAGACATCCTAGAATCAGTCAAGAGTTATAACATGCGCTTAGATCCCACTAAGTGCACCTTCGGCATATAGGAGAGTAATATTATGGGTTTTATATTAACCAAGAGAGGTATATAGGCGAACCCATATAAGTGTTAAGACATCATCGACATGAGAAGCTCATCTAACGTTAAAAAAGTTCAACAACTAACATGACACTTAGCTGCCCTAGCTCGTTTTCTTTCTTGCGCAGGTGACAAGGATTTCCATTTCTTTGCCACTTTGAAGAAAAATTGGAAGTTCGAGTGAACGAGTGAGTGCCAATATGCATTATTCAGCTTAAAGGCCTTTTTGGCATCGTCGCCCATTTTTGACACCCAATAGTAGGTTCGCCCCTCTAGCTTTATATGTTTTGTTACTAATCAGACGATGAGTTATGTGCTCGTACCAGAGACAAGCAAAGTTGAGCGACTTGTTTGTTTTGTGAGCAATGTATTTAAGGGTGGTGATTCAAGGTACAAGAATATTGAGAGACTCTCCTTAGCGATCGTGATAACTACAAGGAAGCTTATGCCCTATTTTAAAAGGGCATTGGGTACTGGTGAAGACCAACTACCCTGTTCGTCAGATTCAGAAGAAGCTAGATCGAGCAAGAACGATGGTATATTGGACAGTTGAATTATTTAAGTATGATATTGAGTAATACTTATAGGAAGTATCAAGTTGTAGGTACTAGTTGATTTTCTAGCAGAGTTTAGTTTGCCAATAGGTGAGGAGACCACCTACACATGAAATATTCACTACGAGAAAAAAAACTATTTTGCAACACATAGATTGCGACGGTTCCATGAAAACCGCCCTCCCTCGTAAGTTACGATGGTTGCCATGGCGGTTTTGGACAACCATCCTTTATTTTTTAAAATATTCTTAAACATTTACGACGGTTGTAGGCCCAATCACCCTAAAAATAATTATGCGACGGTTCTACGACTGTCGCCCCCAAATATATTTAATGCGCATGTGGGCCTTATACAAATTTAAGTCCATTACGGTTCTACAACAGTCGTTCCCCAAATATTCAAATATCCTTAAAACACGCCTTACAGAAAAAGGGAAACAATACGTTGTCAGCTTCACGTTCTCAATTGCCCTTTGATTTTCTCAGTCGTGAATCTCTCTCTCTCTTTCCCTCTCTCTCACACACACACATAAATGCGAGCTCCCCTAACCTCTCTGTTAACTATGAATCTCTCTCACCCTCTCTCAACCGTTAATCTCTCTTACTCTCAGTCGTGAATCTTTCTCACATATGCGAGTTTCCTTCTCTCAGCCGCTAGCACGACCCTCTCTCTCTCTCTCTCTCTCTCTAAACAGGTTTGTCTTTCTACTTGATGCAAAACTTTAAGTTCTTGAAGATGTGTTTATATTGATAGAAATGGATGAGATAAAGGGAAATATCACCAAACAGGGAGTCAAATTTAGATGTGTAGTACAAAGAAACAAGAGAAATTTGAGGATATGGACACTATGTGTCATACATTCACTCTGTTTGTCCCACACCCAATGTTCATTTGTTTCCATATAATATTTATGTTGTAATCACATATAGGTAAGTTATATCTTTGTATCTTTCTTATGTAGGGATGATTTTATATTTCAATCTATTTGTGTTTTGATTATGTTTGTTTAGGATAACTTTTGCTCAAAATTTCTTTTTGAAAAGGTTATGATTTTCTAATTTTATTAGGTACTATTTTGATCAAGCATGGATCATTTTTAACAACTTTGGTTTTGGTTCAGGTTTAGTGACCTTATATTTTTTTCAATTTTGTAGACCTTACTCCTCATATGGAACCAGATTTAGTGCTCTAGAGTTATTTCGGCTATAAATTAGGGAAAGTAAGTTTTTTTATCACATATTTCAAGCTAACTATAATTTTAATTAGAAATAGACTATTTTGGATAATTCCACCTCTTTGTTAAAGCATACAAAGAGCTCATTTAGTTTTCATATGTTATTAGTTTTCCCACTGCAATAAATTTGGGTGTGGTTCTTTCAATTGTTGTGTGACTTTCTCACTGCAGTAAGTTTTGAAGTGCCTTTGAGTTGAATGTTGATGAATATATCTAAATTGATAATGATTGTTTCAATATCTAATGTTGCTTTAGGATGCAATGGTTCCTCTATCTTTCCGTATTCACTGAGTCTAACAGCTGAACTTGTTGATTCAACTGATCTATGTCATTAAGTCACCAAAGTTATTATAAATTGTATCATTGTTAGTGTGATTTATATGTGAGTAAATATTTCATGGGTATCATTATTAGTGTAATTTATAAATTTTCAATACTTTCAATTGGAGCATATTCAAATACTTAAGTAGATCATGTTTTATGCTTCTTTTTCTACTGACTTTTATGTTACACATGGAGTAAGTTAAGCTAACATTTTGTTATGAAAATGATACCTTGAAACAAAGTATAAACAATTTCTTTATGATCAAGAAACACCCAAGGGTTAGGGCTAATGGAAAAAACAAGAAGAACAACAAGGATTGGTTATAACTGATATTCTTTACTTTCTCTTTGAATCAGATTACAAGTAATCAAGAATAACAAATAACCCTCTCACCTTAATTAGGATTTGTCACACTTAAGATGTGAGACTAGTATGCTATTTATAATAAAACCTAACATACTAAACTAATGGGCTTTTTAACAATTATCCATTACAAGCTAACTTATGGTACAAGATAACTTAAACAATTGAATCCTTAACACAAGGCCCAATTCGACAATTACATACTAGAACACATTTTGACTACAGCATGTAGATCTTCGGCAACAGCATGTGAGCAGAATTCGACAATATGCTAAACTAGAGTTTGATCCAATATCTCACACATTTAATGTCATATATGTAAGAATAAGATTTGGTTCTACATTTGGCCTTTGAGTTTTAATGATAACTGCACATGTCATCTAAGAGAACAATTTTGTATGATATGGTTTATGTCTAGTATGTGGTTGTTGTCAAAATGATTCTAACTCTGAAAAGAAGACGTGTGACGTTATCAGACTCTGTTTATCAACACTCTATAAGAAAACATATACGTGTACAAGATAAAGTCAAGATTCAGAAATACTTCTAATGCAACGGTTCTAAGGAACGTTAGTAACGAGGTTTCTGATTGACACTTTATAAGTAAGCTTATAATGCTTTACAAGAAATGTGCTTTCTATTGTTACAACTCTGAATATTCTGAAGACATGGTTCTGGTGAACAAAGCTCTGAAGATTCTAAAGACATCATTTATAAAGATCAAGTTCTGAAGAGTTTTTGAAGACAAGGTTCTGATTGAACGGAATGCTAAAGACTCTGAAGACAAAGAATGTGCTTAATAAAATCTGAAGATGAGGTTCTGATAGAACATGCTCTGAAGACTCTGAAGATAACGCTTATAAGAAACCAAGTGTTGAAGATTCTTATGACTAGGTTCTGTTGAACGAAGATCTAGGATTCTGAAAACTGTGGTTCTGAAGA